ATTATTAATTATAATTAATCATTATTATAATTAAAGGGATTAATTAATCCCTTTACAACATAAATATTGCCCTATAAGCAACAGCAGCCAAATCAGATATCTTGACCATTTCTCTATTATTTTTAATTTTAAGCTCAGCATCTTATAATTATATATATATGTGTTCATTTCTAAAGCCTGGGAAGGAAGAAACACCATTTATTTTTATTTAATTATAAAATATTTCTTACCTCCACTGCCCTGGCGACTTGTATGGGAGAGCAAGCTCAAGCGCTTTTCTAATTGCAAAGCTTCATGAGCCAATCTTTCTTCTGAATAGGCTGGATTTGTACTTGGATCTTTAAAAAGAAGCAGAAAATAAGTAAATTAGAAAAAGAAGAAACATGGAAAATCTGTACAAATAAGGAAAGAAAAAAAGACATTCTTATGTTAGATGCTCTGTTCTTATGTTTGATCTTCTAGTAAAGGAAAGGGAATATACCGATTGGAAAATGTATGGGACAATCTTCCTTCAAGCATATCCTGGAGAAATGCTACATAATAAGTTATAAGTGTCAAAGACTTTCAGAGATTATACCCAATGTCTGTAAGAGTAACCCCCAGGGACAGAACCCTGAAGAGCACAGCACTGAAGGTGGTAGCTACAGAGATAATTAGCATTCAGCAGGTCTAGACGAGCAGAAAACTAATATGTGACCTGTAAATTGTGTCCTGACTTCACCAAACCCACTGAGAATTTTATCACTAAGACCAAATTTTTCATTTTACAATTTTACAAATCTACATCATAAACTCAGTCTCGTAGCAATTAAACTGATAGCTTCCAATCAAGATCATCTAGTTACAAAGACATTGCTTTTGAGTTTGATGTTCAGAAGGTTATTATGTTCAAAAGTCAGAGGTTAAATAAGCAACCTGGTTGCCCTCTGTCCTCATGTTTAATACAAGACAATTCTGAATGGCAAAAACCACTCCTAAAAAGTACTATCGGGGATTTTCCCTGTACATTTTATTGAGTTTGTCATTCCAGATGAAATCACTTCAATGAAGAAGGCTCCTTCTATTCCAATAGAAAGACTGAAAGTTATACATAATGCAGAAGTGCTTTCATCAGTAAAACAGGCCAGTTTCCTCTAAAACATTTTGTTTCCAACCAGGCACAACAATAAAACCAGATGTTGAAAAGAATCATAACCATTATCCCAAGAGAAATCTTAAGAGATTTCTTCAAACAGCACTGACATGTTCAGCAGCTCCAAACGATATGGTCTGCTAACTTGTTCATCAGAAGTTTCAGTAGCTCTTACAAATTACACAGGGAAAGGAATTAATGACAGATACAAGTTTCCTCACAACTGCAGCTCTTATATATCTGATCAACTGGGTAGCAGTAGCACACCACAACATTTAATCATGAATCATTTAATAAAATGGGGAAAAAAGGGTTAAAAGGGTCACACATTGCTGTGGTTGAGTTAAGAAAATAAAAACCAGCTGAAATTATGAAAGAAAAGTTTCATTTTTATCCTAGGTCTTTCAGTTTTAAAAGACTTGGGTCTGCGGCTGTAAACACACCAGTCAAAGCAAGCTCATGACCACAGGAAAGAGCATTTCCAGGTGAGCTGAGGCTCCATCAGAGTCCCTACATAAACTACCTGAGAAACAAGCTGCCACTTCCCTCCTCTCTAACTGTGGTCACTTTCTGACCTGCCCTGCATAGATCCGAGCGCATCACAGGGACAGCAGTGACAATGCTGAACTTTCTTTCACATGTAGAGGGGGTTTCCATCTTTAGCAGTCTGCAGTCTGGAGAAGATGAGCATAACAAGCCATGGCCCTTCTAAAACAAGCGTATGGTGGAAATCAAAGATGCTCTAACAGGGACAAGGCACCAATCAATGCCTGTGACAAACAGGGTCTGTGACCCCTGCATCTCCCAGCTCAAACAGTGCTAGGTGTCAGTGTCTGACACTCTGCAAACTTAACTTTAAGAGCAGAAAAGAGGACTGTTTGATATGGACTATTTTGTTAGTACTCCATTCCTACTGTCCCTGCAATACAACTCATATCAAGCATTGACTAGTTCAAACCTTGTGTAACTGCTTACTCAAACGAAATCCCCAATCCTTCCATATGGACCTTCGCCAAAGGAAAATGCAAGATTTGGCCACCAGCACCTATGGTGCAACCCAGACAGGTCTATGCAAGGATCTGCTCAGTGGCATACAGTGTTACAGGCTTGAATCTATTTTTGAACATCCCCTGCTCCAGTTACTCGGCTGTATCTAGTTAAATGCCTCTGTGTCCCAGAAGGTTCAACAAAGATGTTCTACAAGCACTTTGAGTATAAAGTTGGCATAAGAGATCAGCAAATTAGTCAAGCTAAAATGCAACAGACACTAACCCTTCCCACAGCAAAGAACTGTCAGTAGGAAAGATCTTTCTACTTTCCTCAAAATATGGTTACTTGATAAATGCAGGTTTTCAGAATGTTACTAGGGCACTTACACAACTATTAGTTTTTTAGTAACCAATATCCCTCTTACAGACAGCAAAAGATAAAATTTTTAAAAAATGGTCAAGCAACGTGCAAAAATGGCCTATAATAAAATACAAGATAGGGAGGTAGGAGGGAAGTTGAAGCAAATCAGTAAGCTTGCATTTCATATGTTCAATTGTTTCTAAAAGCCAAATTTCCCATCAGCTGCACAGCTACAGAACACAACAGGTTTCACCCAACAACATGAAACCTCTAGGTGTGCTGTCTGCCCAACAGGACTGATAATTTTTCAGTTAAATTTCCCGTAAGGATTGCCTATGCATAAAACGTGTGTATAAAATTGCAGCAGATTCTTACACCAGTATTTTTGGTTATAGACTACCAACCACTAATCAGGAGGTTTTGCTACAAGATAAGACCAAGGACTGAAGTCAGTCACTGGAGCCACCTTTCAGAGACCAGTCCTTACTGAAGGGCATAACCCATGACCTGTTCAATGAGTGTAGAAATATGGTCTTAAAAATGGTACAAACAAGGGCTTTTTCAACAGTAAAGTTGGATTTGTTGGCATCATCCTATACCTTGTGCATGCACAATATAAAGCCTCTAAATAACTGCAGTAATTTGCCATATTACTACCATGGGGGGACAGCAGCAGCATGACCGGTACTGACACAGCTGTCCAAGGAAGTTCAGACAGCTTCTGCCCACACAACGTCCTACAGTAGCTCAAACAACTCTAAGACCAATTAGTTCCTTCATATCCCAAACTCTAAACAAATGTATCTTATAATGTGATTTACTCCCATGGAATCTACGCAGTTAGATTCACTCAGCTCCTTCAATTAAGAAATTGTTTCATTATTTTCCAAATGAAAATTGATCCCTTGCTATGAAGAAAAATCCTTTGTGTGAGGCAATCATTGAAATCTTCTTAAACCCTGCTTTGGGGCAAAGGGGAAGGATTAAATCAAATTTGCCTGGACTAAAAATGCCTCTGATGGAGATTTTATTTTTATATTACGTTGGTGGATATTCATTCAAGCCACATCAGCTGCTCATCGTGGGAGATTTTGAATACTTTGGTAACATAACATACGAATAAAGTGTCACAGTAATTCAAAGCTCCAGGGCAGTTCAGTAAGCACCTGTCAGGAAAAAAATGTATCGTATCAAGTTAAGTCAGCAGCTACCTAAGATATGCTTGATTATATGCATCTTTAAAATGCAACATTGGTTAATTACTTTATTAAACAAAGTTAGACAAGTTAGGCTGAACATTGCTCCTTTCTTTCTTCCTTTGCAACTGTAGGCACATTTGCAAATCAGGCCTGGACCCTCACCTTCATGCTAACATCTCCACACCTTGTAAAATGTCTGGAGGAATGAAAAGATGTCCTACAAGTTTGAGGAGGATCCACTTGGTACAGATACTGCAGAAGGCAGCCACAGAGCTGTCTTGCAATGGCCAAAGGTGTATCAAGCTTCAACAAAAAGAAAGAGCATCAGATAGATCCTCAGCAAGCAGCACTGCACACTCTCCAGTCAGTCACAAAGCAGCCTGAAAAAGCTTCCAAAATTAAAAGAGAGCATCAAGACTATCAACATTACACTTGGGGTCTTTCCAGCCTGCAGGACTAGACTGTCCCGGAGCCTTAGCCAGATTTAGAGAGTACTGATCTGCCTACTGACCAAAGATATCACTGATCGGCTGCTGGGCCTTTGCTGTTCAGCATTCAAGATGACTCTTGCTAGTGAAAAGGAGTTCAACGCACACCTGATAAACAAACACTTCTCAAATAATATGCATGCAAATTCAGTATAGGTTACAAACCATGCAATCAGTGATTCATTACTCTGTCAAAAAAAAAAAAAGAGACTATGAGAGCAGCCAATTACAGCCATTATCTTCCAACTGATAGCTGGGGAAAACAAGCCATCCAAAGACATCCTGTCACTCTTTTGAGTCCTTTATTTAAAATGCCACGCTAAATAAAAACATCTAGGGATACCTATACTACCAGTGCATTCCCACTCAATGCCATATGTCTTTAATTTGAGACCTGATCATTCCAGCCTTTAACAAATCAAAACCTCCAATCTGTTAATGGAGCTACCAATAGGAGTATTTTGGTACAGTTTTGCAGAATTAATAGACTCCCAAAGTAAGTACCACACAGTAGTAAAGTGTAAAATATCTAATCTTATTTTCCTTTTCTATTTTATGTTGTTTATACACATAATAGAATTCTTTTTATCCTGAGAATATTCATATTCATTTGATACCCATTTCCAAAAAGTCACAGAATAATTCAGGCTGAAGGGATCTCAGGAGTTCTCAAATCTAACCTGCTGCTCAAAGCAGACCAGCTCTGAGAGATTAGACCAGATTTTGATACCTTGCAATGGTCAGTCAAGTTGACAAGTTCTACTGCACAGCATTTTCATTACGTATTTTATAGACAACATAATAAAATACATATAGTAATCAGATATCTATGTTATATAAACACCAAACTTTTAAAGAAGGCATATTTTTTAAAAACGACAATCCTGAAAAGAAAATGTGAATATTGTACCTGAGCAGATACCTCTTGCACATGCAGTTTACAAACTCTCTTTGAATAATGGGCATTTTACATTTATTTAAAGAATCACTATGGCAAGTAAAAGAAAGAAAACTCGTCATTTTCCAGTCCTCTTCAAACCAGTCTCTATCATTTCCTACTAATTTCATGCTAACACTTACGTATTTCAGCACTCCATTTAACGATATGGTTGAGCTGTTTGTATATAAAGCCACTGGCTTCATTCATTAACCTTTTTCCAAAAACAGATTAAGCAGATGCTGACTGCATAACTTCTCCAGATTATATTTGTCTTGTGGGCATTGGTGTCCACGAGCACTGACAATGTGACATTTTTTCACCACATTACATTTTCTCTGGAAAGCTGCCCTTTGTATGTTTTCCTTTCTTGAAAATACCTAAGAGTTATTCAAGCATATTTCATGTTCAAGTTGAAAAGGTACAGGCAACAGCAAGAAGCCAAATGCAAACCACAAACTGTGGAGAGAAGGCTTTTTCCTATAACAGCTTTTAAATTACACAAAAGCAGAACATTGCACGTATAAAGCACAGTTGAGGCTGTGTAGCCTTCTGCACTGCTGTAAATATCAATAACATTGACTAGATGTTTCTTAGCAGAATCCCCAGTCTGGAAGTTTTGATCTAGTTACCCAAGATGTGCAGATGATTAATCTACTTAATAACAAACCCTTTCAAAAGGTTGGGTGAATTTCAATACTCTTGTCAGACACAGTATGCAGCTGGTAGAGATTTGACTTTTTCAAGCAATACAGTATATTCTGTGTAACAGCATACTTGATAAGGAAAGTTAGTTCATGGATGAATCACTACTGTACACATGCATGTGCCTTCAACAGGTCTGTGCAAGCTTTTGCATGGGATAGTAAATGAAGGAAAACAAAAAAAGTAAAAATTTTCTATGAAGGGCTGAATACATAGGGGGTGACAACAAACTGGAAGAGACGAGGGTAAAAATACAGGGAAACATAAGTTGGAGGGGTCAGTGTATCTTGGAAAAGCGCTGCAGAGGAGTCTGCAAGAACCTCAGCACAGTTTCCTATAGAACACTGCTCCTGTCCAGGGAAACAAGGTGAAATCGAGTGGCTGACTATGTCTTCACATAATTGTAGTGGCAAGTCCATCAAGCACAGAAGACAAATTAAAATTACCTCAGAAAAGACGTCTTCCCTTACAAAACTCACCAAATAATCCTGAGGATATTCTACATCCACTTAATGCACTTCAGTGAGGTCAGAGCACTTGAAAGAGGAAGGGAATGTGGAATGTGGCTATGTATAACAACCCACAAACACCAGAGTTGATAACTAAGATGCAAAAGCAGATGTGCTTCTCTACAATACATAGAGGCATAAAAATAGATTTTTCAAAGAGTGTAACATCTAAAACTAAAATTAAAAAAAAAAAGACAATAATAATTGCTTGTAGACTTAATTTTTCTGGACATAATTTTTTGTTAAAGATTTAGGAGTTTTATATGTGTAATATAGCTTTAGATATGCACAAATGATGTGTTAAATGGCAAAGCTTTAAGTATAAGCATTGGTTTTGGGTTTTCTGTTGTTGTTTTTTTGTTGTTTGCTTTCTTTTAACACTCCACTTAGTTGAATGTAAGCATCATATAAGAAGAATGAGGTTTTACTGCCCGCTATTCTGCCTGATTGTTTTGTTTACTTCAGTGTTACAACTATGGGAAAGAAGAGATTAACTGAGCTTTGTGTCTACTGCGTTTACCTCAACTAGCTTTTCTTAATTTATTTCACAAGCTTTGCATCCAGATCTAATCTTTTCAATCACATTTCCTTCCCCCAATTACCTTAAGCTTACAACAGCAATAAAAACCTGTCAAACACCTATTAACTGCCTAACACTTCAACAGAAATTCTAAGTATTTCCCACAAATCCCACCTCACCCTTCACTGTTCTTGCAGCCTACTCCCAGTATATCCCATGGCCAATTCAGAGACATTTTTCTGCAATCTCATTTCCGCACTCTTGCCCTGCTTGACACAGTCATTCTGACTCAATATTTCTTCATCAGCTAAAGTCAAAAGACAAAAGGGCTTACTATGATGCCATCTAATTTCCACTCTGAATCTTCCAGTGCTGCAGCATTTACCATAAAACAGGAATTTATCCTTGCACATCAGAAAAGCAGCTCAAGCTGCAAAACTGAAATGTGAAATGGAGGTCTGACCAAGTTTTCTAAGGTTGGCAAGGCTTAGTTTTAAGTGTTTTGGATGAACTCAAAATGCCCCAGAAGTTAGTTTTCCATTAAAGTACCAAAACAGTAATGCAGATGTGGCTCCAAGTCGAACTGTGTAAGTTTAAAACTAAAGGTTAGGGTTCTTTTCAATTCAAATTGCCATATTTTAGTACTATTAAATAACAGAAGGCTTAAAGTCAGCAATATCACCAGAAATATGAATGAGCCAGAGCAGAAGGGGGAAACCGAGTACATTCAACTGATGGATCTGTACTGTGGCATTTCAGAATGAAAACCACTTTGCACTTTCTACACACTTAGTGTCTGCAAGCTGTTCTTACATTCACAGCAATAAGTGCTAGACATAGCAAGTTCCTACATTGCTCGGTTACTCCATACTTCCTATATTAACCTGGTAGGACTGGACGCAAACCAAAAGGGCCTTTCGTCGGGGAGATGCCACGGACGATACAGTCGAACAGAAAGCTGATCTGCTCTCCTTCGGCACAAGAAAGGAAAAAAACACCAGCCCCTGCAAGAAAGCACAACATAAATATGTGTTTTCACTAGGATACATTAGAAATATATTTAGCTGCAGCTATTTATAATTTAGCAATCAAAAGAGTATTAAGTGCAAGCCATGAAGAGAAATCAACAAGACATGTTCTCCAAAGAAAAGAAATAAAGAGAAAAAAATTCAGGTCAGTGCACACACACATACATTCAATAGCTACCTCATCATTTGTGTTAATTTTCTGGGATTCAGGCAATTAGAGTAATGCCAAAATATAAGCCATATGCTGAACAGCTGTCTGCGGCTTTTATTCTTATTTACCTCTAAAATTTTGTAGATAAAAACTTAACTATACAGGTGTCAGGGATATTTAAAAAGTGTCTTCACCAAAATGAACCAAGTTAATTCTACTTTTACCCAATTTTAATCAAGAGCAGTTTTTTATATCCCAATGAATTAGGATTTGGTTATATTGCTAGATTGTCTTACACGTTTTCCTAAGCTGAGTCCTATGTGTCTATTATTAACAGAACGAAACACGACTCCACAGGTTGTCATCAGATCTTTACCCTTTGCTCTATTCTGATATTTTGCTTTCCATTCATTAAGAAGAGCCCCAAGCAAAATTAGAATGAGAATCACTAAATAAACAAACAAGTTCTGAGCTGCAAGGTACATGCCTACATAGACAACACACAAGATGAGAAGTGCTCCACAGAATATTTTATTTGAGAATTGTCGGTCTAAACATTCTTCACATCAGGGAAAGTCTAGTTGACATTTTGTATGATCTTAAAACACCATACAAAAGACCACCCCAGTAACCAGTGCCTTCAGGAAATAAATAACTGAATTAACTATTATACTAAATTAGATACAGCCAGCAAGCAGTAAACTGACCACAAGAAGAAAAGCATATTCCGCTGCACACACTTGTCATTCTCAATTTATGTCACATCTAAGTCTCCACCTGTTCTGCTTAAATCTATTCAAGACACCATTACTAGTAGCATCTTTGTAGCTTGATTTGTCACTCCACCACATTTGTTCCTCTTCAGATATTACTGATCAAAACTTCTCCAGCCAAAGAAAGAGAAATTCTGTTCCTGGCACAGTTTATTTCCTTTGGTGAACTGCTGTAAATTCAACTGGAATTGGAATTCACTCACCAGTAGAAGTTAAATTTATACTTAAAGGCTGGCTTGCCAATCATTCCTAGATCACAAGGTCTCAAACATACTCCTTGAGACTCAGGACAGACAAACATTAAACCACTAAGCTATGTTTAAGCAACTGAAAAGATGAACACAGACTAGCTCATGAAATGCAAACCTGAGGAAAGTCTACGTAACTCCACATTTCTGTAGTACTGTTTTCATTATTCTTATTTTTAAAAACAGTTTGTCCCACATTTCCTCATGACACATACTACACCCTGGCTTCAGTATCAGAGACCATCTAGGTGATTACAACACTAACCATGCAGTCTGACAGGTATGAAAGTTTCAGGTGGTGACTCACAGTCTTGTCCCATTTCCCCTCCCAAAGAGATACCAAAGAGTTGTACATAGAACCCTGTATTAGAAAAAGCTGGGTTCACATTTTGTATTCAGGAATGACTTGAAATTCACCTCTTCCTTTGAGCTGCCACCTTCTCTTCCATGGAGTAGAGGGAGCCTAGGGAAACCAGTTTGCCTATATTGGATGGTATGGCTCTTCCCCCATGAATCACACTGATGCCAGAAGACATGCCTTTCTTGAGGGACACAGCATAAGGGTTTGCTGGGCTGACCTTCCCAACCCATGCACAATATGGAAGCAGGGTACAGAGACAATATAACAGATGGCTAAGTATCTTGAGCACAATGATATACAATGTGGCTTGATAATTCAGCAGAGTCCTACACATCCATGTTGCCATGGATGAAGATTCCTCAAATATTTCTGTACATAAAGAGTACATCTGGACCACTTTGTTCTTTTATCATTATTGCCAAGAATCTTACTTAAAATCCTAAGAGGCTCTACAAGACTTTGGCTCTAATGGAAAGAAAAAAGTAAATGTGTGCATGTGAGCCAGCTGCTTAACTCAAAGAATGATTTCTGCAAAGAACTACCATGCATTTGTAAATCTCAAAAACAAATGTGATGGCCTTTATATAAATAGTGCAAACAGTGTATGCACATTTGCACGTGGATAGGAATCCAATATACACATATGCATAAATTATTTCTTTGCAGACTCTGTTATTCACGTGATCACCGTAAGTGCCGATCGACTCTCAGAGGAAATGTTTTCTTTCTTGTTTTGCTAGGTACAATTAGACTGCAGGGGAAGGAAGAAGTCTGAGGACCACAGAATCACAGAATCACAGAACGTTAGGGACTGGAAGGGACCTCAAAAGATCATCTAGTCCAATCCCCCTGCCGGAGCAGGAACGCCTAGATGAGGTTGCACAGGAAGGCGTCCAGGCGGGTTTTGAATGTCTCCAGAGAAGGAGACTCCACAACCTCTCTGGGCAGCCTGTTCCAGTGCTCTGTCACCCTCACTGAGAAGAAGTTTCTTCTCAAATTTAAGTGGAACCTCCTGGGTTCCAGCTTGTGCCCATTACCTCTTGTCCTATCATTGTTTGTCACCGAGAAGAGCCTGGCTCCATCCTCGTGACACTCACCCTTTAAATATTTATAAACATGAATGAGGTCTCCCCTCAGTCTCCTCTTCTGCAAACTAAAGAGACCCAGCTCCCTCAGCCGCTCCTCATAAGGGAGATGCTCCACTCCCTTGATCATCTTTGTAGCCCTACGCTGGACTCTCTCCAGCAGTTCCCTGTCCTTCTTGAACTGAGGGGCCCAGAACTGGACACAATATTCCAGATGCGGTCTCACCAGGGCAGAGTAGAGGGGAAGAGTAGAGGACCCTTGCAAAAGCCATCAGGTGAGATGAATGAATAGGTAAGGCTTAACTGAGTTATGTTTTAAAAGCATACATAAAAGCCAGCTATGACATTTATTTTCTGCCTTCTTGAGAAAGCCAAGAAATTCACTACTAGAAACTACACATCTCAGTCATGTAGGAACAGATTTGGTGCTCAAACATTTGGAAGCTGAGGAATATGTGGTATGCATCACTGTAATACCATGCAGCTGTTTACTAGACTGAAAAGCTCACTCTCCACATGGGTGTAAGAGACTTGGTGAAAAGCAGCCTGCAACTACTTGCATAAGGCTGAAACGCTAGGCCAGTCCTCTGTGGCAGAAAGCAATAAAGCATTGTACAGTATCCCAAATATCCACGAGAAGTTGCCAATTTCATAAAACTTCCAAGTATTATTAAATCTTGTTATGGTCTGATTTTAATTCGTCATACTAAAAAGGCAAACCCATGAGCAAACACACAACTAACAAAAAATTACTTAAAGGTTGTACTGTGTGTGAAAGCAGAGAGGAAGAGTCAGTCCATTCCCATGAATTATTACTCCTGACAGATGCCAGACACTGCTAAAGCCTGGAGTCTTTTAGCTACAGGACAGGTACAAACCATGGCAGCTCAGTTCACGGCAATTATCCTGTTGCCCAACTAGTATGTTTCAATCCTGGCTTTGAACAACCCCTTTAGGAGGTATTTCAGGCCGCATGGCTCAGGCTGCTCTTCTCTCTGGTGAAAATGACAACAGGTTTTCCTATTATTGCCAACTAGGACATGGGTATGACTACTAAAAAGAAGATGAGGATGTTTGTTATCTACAGTAGGCCTACGTAGGAGACAGCAACAGAACAACATCTGCACATAAACACAAGTTTTAATCCACACGTTCCAGATGTTAGCCCAGTTCAGCCACCTCTGCCACTTCTAATTTTTCAATAAACTCCCATTTGTTACAAGATTCCTCCTCTTCTCCTTTGGCCCTTCCAGACATGCACTTCCACTGTATCAGAATTATTTTTAAAAGCCACTTCCAGAAGTCTTAGAAAGAAAGTTAGAAGCATCTAATTTCATCAAAATATCAAAAAGATTAGAGAAATATTCCTGTTTATCCTGTAGCTAGCAGCAGCAGTATCATTTCTTCTTTCAAAGGGCACCAAGGGTCCTACAATTTCCTCTCTTCTAGAAAATGCTGTCAGAAAACATGAAGCAGCTTCAACCTAGGCTCTGGAAGCTAATCCTCAAGTACTTGAACATTGGAGAGCCTGAATTCCCATGGCATTAACATACCTTTTTATTACCCTACTTGAATTTAATTCACATTGACCTCAAAGTCAAGATTCTCCTGGAAAATAGTCACTTTAATCAGTGCACACGAACTGAACTAGCAACTTAGGACAGTGAGAGGCTCTTTCTTTCCAGCCTGTTCCTCTAAGTAAACCACTCAATTGACTCTTAGGCCCAGATGCCTTTTTTTTTTGCAAACGAGATATGTGTGATTGAGCTTCAGCTACAGAGGAGCTGGGGGCAGAGGGAGCCAAATTTTGCCCCAGAGATAGACTTATCTGCAGCTGTCAGAAGGAGAATAAAGAATTTTCTAATCTCTGGCAGTACAATTGTGATGTTAAGAGCAAGATAAGTTCAAAATGTAAATGCTCTCTTTCCTATTTAAGAATAAACTGGTGTTATCCATCTTGAAAATGCACTTAGATTTAATGTCTGAAATCTCAGCATTATCTTAGTTCACTCTACCTGGACTGAACACCAATGCTTTCGGAGTTGGACAAAACCTGTACTGAGTAACTAGTTCAAAAACACAATTAAGTATTTTATATTTATGAAAAAAAATTTTAAGGAAGCAAGGAACAGAAAGGTAAAACAGATTCAGATCTTTTTAGACCTCAGTTCTACCATAGAAATAGCCAAAAGTATTTTGTCTCTGTTTGGGGCTTCATGGTTTTTTTTTAATGAGAGGAAAGCAATCTAACCACATGATCATCAGTTCCTTTCAGTAAGGTATTTATTACAGCAGTATTTGAAACTTAAATTCACTAATCCTCTGCATTCAGAGCTTCACAGGAAGAATGGAGCAAAA